GATGTTGAGTTTTGTGAACTATGATCTGAATTCTAGGATTCAGAGAACTGCCATAGCTACATAATGAACTCTTGAAAGATGTTTATCAATCACTGGCAGAAAGAAATGGAGCTATGGCAGTTTTGAAAGGAATTCAGTGAAGACTACAGCCTTTTTAGTAGTTTGACCGGAGCTTCCCCTCTTTCAATCCAGGCAGTAGAAGAAGAATAAGTAGAATGAGCCCTCACTTCGAGCAGGTGAATCCCCTTTTGCTGAAAGGCTTTCAAGAATAAAAAGGCTATTTTATTCCAGATGGGTGAATTCAAGATAGAGATAATTGATGTTTTAAAAATATTTTTAAAAGGAAAAAGTACTCTTACTATAATGGAACATTCAAGTGGAGGAAAAACAATCTGTAATCAACCAATCAGGACAACAGTACTGAGAGCTGAACAAGGGAATATATTTATGTGGACAAGAGTACTTTAAAACTTTGGGAAATCCTCGATGGTAATTAGGTGGGAAGGAGATAATTATTTAAGAATGTAATGTAACCTTGATTTTTAGAAAGGTTTTGAGGATGGGGTAGAATGGAACATTTATTATAATGTCTGTTTGGATAATTGAGTTCAGTCCTGTAAAACTCTGCAACTTAGTTTTAAGAGTTCCATAAGACACAGGCTCATGCAGAAGAAGAGTTTCAATCATTGCAACCACAAGGGAAATTACTGACCTTCAGTTAACTGAAGAGCGGAAAACAGGGCTGCATTTTTCTGTCAAATTACATACACAATTTATAAATAATCACAGCAGCTGTAAAGCGCTGGTATGCTTTGTCCCTAAAGCTATATATTTTGGGGTGGGCAGAAGTGGATTCACAACTTTGGGGATTCTCTTTTTAGAGGTACACCACAAGCTGTTTTCTGGTGGTGGTTATTTGGTTGGCTGGTTGTTTTTTGAATGGCACAAGACACATTAAAAAAAATTGGGATCTATTGCTGGTGTGGAAAGTGTACCTTTTTCTTCAAAAGGTGGATGTGTAAGAGAACAGGGCAGACTTAGTTTTGGCTCATTGTAAATTTTCATGTTTATACAGTAATCTGAAATATCCCCACCATAGATATATCGGTCTTAAAATGTAGTAACCAGATTCTGTTGTTTTATATTTTGTAGAATATTGCATTTTTTCTGTCTCTCTTGTCTCAACTTTTCTTCCATGATAACATTGTGCCAGTGGAGTCTCCATGGACAAAAATGCAGTCTCTAATGTGGCTGTTTAGACTTTTAAGTTATATAAATCGGATAAGTTTGTTGCCCACAATTTTTTTTGAGCCAATTAGAAGGCCCTAGTAAAGAAATTATTTTCATTATAAATTTCTTTCCTTATCAAAAGAAGAGGGAAAAATAAAAACAGCTCTCCCAAAAGATTAAATAAAGCACCATCTAAATACAAACGTATCACTTAAACTTCCAAACGGAATTAAAAAAAAAAACCCTCTCTCTAATAACCTACTTGTAATCCTTTAATCCTGTAAGCCTGTATTTTGGGCTTTGTGTATATTACTAGAACAAGTTTCTTTGATTACAGCATCATCAAAGAATAGCATTCTGATGTTCTATAATACATAAGGGACATTAAGGAAGGGGGGCTTATATTTATCTTTCTTTTGTGGTCTCTGCTTGGGTTTTTGTAAATAGTGGGTCTTTTTCAAAGTACTAGGAGGCAAGAGAAGTAGGGAGAAAGATCTAAAGATGGATGTTTAGAAATTTAGTTATGAGAATTTTGGGACTCGCATATCTTATCATTTTACCAAAAAGCTCCTCAATGTGGAATAGGATTAAATTCAGGAAAAAATGTCTTGTAAATCTAGTCTGTTTAGCTGTAGCTTGAGAGCTTTTCCCTTGGGTGTGATGGAACACAGTACAGTAATGTTGATCTGTTCCAAGTTATTGGGAATTCTGATAGCTGGAGAAATGAAAACCATTTTCAGTGAAAGGAAAAAAGTACTGGTAACAATTTTTTATAATGCAGAAATAATGTGTTTTATAGTACTAGACTAGATTTTTGGTATGGAATACGTGTTTTTAAGCAGGATAAAAACACTGGTTGTAAACCATGTAGGTTGAGTATGGCCGAACTTGTGTTCTGGCCGAACTTGTGACACTTACAGATTACAGAAATAATTTTCTAATGATTCACAAGTAGACAACAGGATTGAGACCTGAAGATGATATCTCTCTGGGAAGAAGATTAGCTGCCAATCACGATACTCTGATACCTATTCAAGAAGAGACAGACGAACACATCATACTTAACTGTGTTAGTCACTAGTATGACCAGGCAAGATTATCCATCAGTGCAGCTAGCACAACTTGCACAATTTCTATACCATACTCAATTATGAAGGCTGAAAGGGGTGATGAACTATTGAAAATTAGTTCAGGAGTCCCTGGTATAGCAAGTATCAGAGGGGTAATCGTGTTAGTCTGAATCAGCAAAAGTGGCGAGGAGTCCTGTGGCACCTTATAGACTAACTGAAGTGTAGGAGCATAAGCTTTCATGGGCAAAGACCCATGATCAGATGCATCTGACGAAGTGGGTCTTTGCCCACAAAAGCTTATGTTCCTACACTTCAGTTAGTCTATAAGGTGCCACAGGACTTCTCGCCCCTGGTGTAGCACTTTCCTTCAAGAGAGAGAAGAGGGAGAATGATTGTTGTCTAGCATTAATATCAAGTGGTGGTTTTTTGACTGCTGCTTGGGCTGTCCTGTTAAAAAATGGTCAATGGTATGTTCTCTTTAAGAGCAAGATAACCTACTTACTACAGTTAATGCATTACAGCTTCTGGCTTGAGCTAACATGTAGCTCAAGGGAATTGCTTCATTTCTTTCAGAATCCTACTTTGCATTTCTGGGCCAGCTCTTTCATATAGAGTGATTTAGGATTGTCTCCTTCCTGAACTTTTTTATTGAAGCTAGAGAGACTCTCTTGAATTGGTTAGTCTTTGAGGTGAAGGTTGAAAGCTCCTGCTAGTGGGATAGACCTTTTGAAAACAATATAGGTTGACCATAGTTGATCTGAAGAGTAGGAATTTTGAGAAGTTATAATGGCGAAGAATCTGTCTTTCACAACTCTGACATAGGGTCATATACTTGCGGGTACGTGATAGTAGCTAGCTTTGCAGACGTGGTATTTCCCAACTGGAGGGGGGGGGGCAATAGATGGTGCACACATTCCAATTTTAGAGTCAACCCTCCTTTCCACAGAATATATCAACAGGAAGGGATATTTCTTACTGATGCTTCAGGGGCTAGTGGATCACTGTGGGTTTTTTCCCAGACATCCATGTGGGCTGCATGATGCACACCTCTTCAGGAACATTTGCCTATACAGAAAGGTGCAGGTGGAGACTTTCTTTCCAGATCACAAAATTTATAGCAGGTGATGTGGAAATCCTGGGATACCCAGATACCCTTAATAGTCCTGACTCATGAAACCATATATGGGGCACCTGGACAGAAGTAAGGAATGTTTTAATAACAGGCATTTTCTGAACTTTTTCAAATAGCCACCTACAATTTAAATACTGATTCCAGTTATAGACATGTGGTCAGAGATAAAAATGGTACTGTGATAATTTAGTATCTTAAGTTGTTAGCCAGGTTTGTGTCTACAAAATTTCCCCACACACACATTGTATGGGCAAGTCAAGTGTCAACTGGAAAGTCTAGTATTCTGGAGCACAGACAATGCCAGATGTTTGTCATCTGTCCTTTACTCCTCATGATTCCTTGACAAGTAAAAGAACAGCTTTGATCAATAAGCAGTTACAGCATATAATTGGCCCAGTCTTGTGTTACAGGCATGAACAGCATCCCCCTTTACTTGTTAGTAATTATTCTCAATTATTACTGCCAGGAGGAGGAAAAAAGTTGTGCTCAATGAGCAAGCATAAAGGTTCACAACAGCAATTTAAGCCCCAAAGTTTGGTCCTCAAACTACATTGGTCACTGGCCCTCAGGATCCATCAATTAAATTAAATTGCACGTTCTTACTAACAAGCTACTATATGTGCTGCCCCCTTGCGCCCTCAAGCTATTGTTCTTGTAAAGAAAGTGGTGAACTTGACCCTTTAAGTCTCATTAAAACATATGATGTTCACAGGAGAAGTAGTACCAAATAAGCTTTATAAGTGTTCCATGCCCCTTAACTGGATATATTTATCCTTTGATAGTGACCTATAAACCCGTTACAGGCGCCAAGGGAACATTAAAGTCACCATGGCCAACATCATCTCCTCAACTGTCTGAGTCAGTGCACTGCCTGAGCTCCGCATGTTCAGTTACCAAGCAGCATATTTGGAATCTCTCCATTCATGCTGCTCTTTATTTCCTGCATAGCCAGACTGTCAGTTTTTCCTATCACTTGCATCCCAACTGACATTTGCTGCCTGTGCAGTGATATTCCAAAGTAAAACTTTTTGCTGCTAGCAAATTTCATTTTGCCAGAGCCACCAGCATTAAAGCAGCACAGAGGAGAGAAGCAGAACCATGCATTAACTTATGCCGTGAGACAAATTGAGACCTACTAGTAAATTACTAAATTTTACTTTGTGGTACCCCTTTACAGAAAGGCCAGAAGCCTGAAGAATGCTTCCTGGTTGATAATCAGCTGCCCACATTTTCTCTTGTCCATCTAATGGCTAAATAGAAAATAGATGGGGAATGGGGAGACCGCACATGTGTTGTGGGCTTCTCTGGCACTGTCTACACTACACAATAAGGTCAAATTAAGGTGAATTATTTTAGGACTCAATTTTTGTAAAGTCAGAGGTGCATGTCCCCAGAGTGCAAGAATTCGACATAGTTCAAAGTAGCGCATCCCCAGTATAATGGCTACAGTTGAATTTGGGAGTGATGCGCTGTGGGTTCCCACAGTTCCTGCTACCCCTTGACATTCTGAGTTATGCTCTGTCCCATAATGCATTCGTCTCCTCCCTCCCGTACTGCTTGAAAGCAATGGCAAACAGTCTTTTCATGCCCTTTTTCCTCTGGTTATCCATGCAGATGCCATAGCAGGGTAAGTATGGAACCCATTCAGCAGCAAAGTATTATGGCACTCTTATTAACCTTATGCTGGAGTATTTCCACAGCATATCCAGGCACTGCTGGAATGAGGAAGAACTTTGAGGCTTCATATTCTGTGAAGCACAAGACAAGCACAGATTGGTGGTACCAGATAGTGCTGCAGCTATGGGATGATCAGCAGTGGCATGCATAAGGCCATTTTCATGGAAGTGTCCTAATTGCTTTCTCCTGCCCTGTAGCACAAGAATGCCAGAATGAAACCTGCTCTGATAGCAGAGAAGCAAGAGGCAATAGCCCTGTGGAAGCTTGCAATGCCAGACAGCTTCTGGTCAAATAGGAGTGAATTCAGAATGGAGAAATTGACAGTCGGGGCTGCTATAATCCAAGTAGTCAAGGCAGTCACTATCTTTCTGCTACAGAGAGTAGGGACCCTGGGAAATGTGGAGGACATTGAGGAGGGCTTTGCCGCAGTGGGGTTCCCTAACTGTGGTGGGGCAATAGATGGAATGTGCATCTGTATTTTGGTATGGGATTACCATGTTAAAGAGTCCATAAACCTCAAGGGGTACTACTTGATGCTGCTGCAAATGGTCTTGGATCACAAAGGCCATGTCACCATCAACATGGGATGGTTGGGAAAGGTGCATGACACATGCTTCTTTAGGAACTTCTGCTTCTTTTGAAAGCTGAAAGCTGGAATTTTCTTCCCAGATCAGAAAATTAACGTTGGAGGCGTTGGAATGCCAGTAGTGATCCTTGGTGACCCAGCCTACCCCTTGTTCCCAAGGCTCATGAAGTTGCACGTGGGCAGCCTGGACCGCAGTAAGGAGCAGTTAAACTATAGGGTGAGCAAGGGCAGAATGGTAGTAGAATGTGTTTTTGGATGTTTAAAGGGAAAGTTTTGCAGTCTAGTGTGGCAGCCTGCTGTGTGCCCCATAATATTTGTGAAAGTAAGCAGGAAAGTTATATGGCAGGGTAGGGGATCGAAGCACAGCACCTAGCCAGTAATTATGAGCAGCCGGAAACCAGGGCAATAAGAAGAGTGTGAAACCTAATCTCTTAGCATAAAAGGAAGGTCTGTTCAAAGACAATAGGAATGTGTCATGCACAAAGGCCACAGTTATGCTTTTAAGCACCCACTATGTACAGATCTTAGGGGACTTGGTTTGGTGGTAGGCATGATAAAGGACAGGCTGAGGCTTGAGTCTGTGGGGGGAGGTGGTCTTGGTGTGGTGTCAGGGCAGGTGCTCAAGCCGTGCTTCATTAGGGATGAGCAAATGGAGGTTTACTGCAGAGGCATCAGTTAATAGCTTCCCCTGCTTCATCCAGGTTGCAGTGCACAATATCCGTTTTCTTCAAATCACATGGTGTGATAGGGAGCAGATGCTAATTGAATGTGGCAGAAGCCTGGGTCTTCATGCTTTGTGCTGCAATGATGCCAGACCACCTTCTGCTGACTTGGTGTGGAAAAGTGTCCTACCGTGGAAGACGGAATAAGCCAAGTTCCCACAAACCTTGTGAGAAGGATTAAAGTGCTATATGAGCTTTATGGAGATATACAGGGAGAATTCCCATTCTGTCTCCAGACACATTAACAAGCAGTTCTTCAGAGCCCGCACTGTGTAGACAGAGTGGCTGCCACAGATCACACCCAATTGCCCTAACTTGCTTGCAGCATGATACAAAAGTGAACTCACCAGCAGTGCCCTTCCCAGCATCAAGACCCAGCGGTGAGATGTCCCGAGAGGAGGTGATTATCTCCAAAACTATAAAAAGGTCCTGGGTAGTGAGCTGATGGCTCTGGCTGTGTGCTGAATCTTAATCCTGAGGTTGTGTGTAACCTCATCCATGCTGTTTTTCACGCTGTTGCCAGAGAAGTTTCTTGGGAAGAACCCATGGACTAAGGAAGCTTATGGAAGTGGCATTTTTGCAGCAGTGCTCCAGACCATCTGTTAGCCTCCTTTGTCTTGTGGTGCAACTGCCTTGACTCCTTTATTTTCATGCAGCACTTTTGGGCATCTCTGGTGTATTTTTTCTCTTCCATGCCCTTTGCATTCTTGGCATTGATATCTGTGTTTCTTTTGCTGGTTCTGAGAGAACAGATTCCTCTCCCTGTAGAGCAGTGAGGGCCAGGATCTCCTGCATGCTCCATGCTGGTGCTCGCTTGTGACCCTGGGCATTCATGGTCAGGTGTGCTGCTTGAGGCATGCTGCCTGCTCTGAGCTCTGCTCACCACACTGTCCACACAGAAAATGAAGTTCAGATTTTTCTCTGGACTTTACCTGTGCCCCTGGAGAGCAGTAGGGTTGTGTCCTGGCCTATGTAGTCATAGCAGGCCACCGTGGGATGCCTCCTGGAGGCCAAGAATGTTGACTTTCCATCTGCACTTCTGTAAAGTTAACCATGCAAAGTAGAATTTAGCAGTACTCCTCATGAAAAGCAGAAGTACCAAAATCAATTTTATAATGGCCCTTAAAAATAGATGGAATGGACTTAGTGGTGTGGACTCATTTAGAAAATTGACCTAATGTGGCTCAGTTCGACTTCAGCTCCCAGCATAGATCTCTGATGCCCTGCTGTTCAGTAAAAAACACTTCCCCTACTCAAGTTGGTTAGAGGACAGTTAGAGGCTGAGGGAATGATTAAAGGTGATAGTGAAGTGTGGACAAGGGATGGAAGAGAGAAGTACAGAGTCTGGGGAAGCATGAGAAAGAGAGAGGGAAACAAAACTGAACAATAGATCACTGTGACTGTTACCTGCCATATTTCCAGCTCCTGCTGGTGCTGTGGTGCCACAGTGGGAAGTCAAACACTGTTCTAAGGCGTGCCTTCCTAGCACATTGTTTCTTTGTTGACTTCCCACTCTGTCCATGTTGGGCAGTATGGTTCCCAGTGGAGTGATGACTGAGTAGAGTTTACTAGTAGTCGGTAATTGTTTATCAGCAGGACCAGAGATAAGGAAGGCAAGAGATGGACAAAGACTGCAGCAAGGAAGCAAAGAAAAAATGTGGAAGGCAAGTCTCCTTTCGTCACCAAGCCATTTGTCTAAACTACCTGGCAACTTTTGTGTTTTGAGAACTGTATGTTTGTGATATTTTCCTGTTAGAGAAAATAGAGGAATATAAATATTGCGTAGGGCTTCCGAAGTCTATGTTGCAGTTATTCGGGAGGTGGTTGGGATTTACTGCTGAGGTGTCTTTACAGATCTCTGGCTCCGTTGATGATGATAACCAGAAGGCTGCTTGCGTGTGTGCTCAATGATGTGTGCTGTGTCGACTTGTGCGCTTAGTTTCCACAGCAGACCCCAAGAGAGCCCCCAAAGACCACAAACCAGATAAGGATCGAAGGTGCCAGGCCAAGTTTATTGTTAAGTGAAGTACAGTAATACTTGTCAGTTGACTCTACTGAACCACTACGCGTATATACCCCGTAACAATGGAATGACTCAATCAGTGGGAAATTTCCACTGCCCCCAGGTCATCCACAGACTGTCCTCCCCCCAAGACACCACTTTATATACAGGTACAAACAACTCACACCTCACTGCTGACATATCAGGTTGCCACCTCTGACATTGTCAGGTTACCACCCTCTGATGCTACTTAAATACCACTCATCACTAGGGTTGCCAGGTGTCTGGTATTCAACCGGACAGTTTGGTTTTTGGACCCTGTGTCCTATAAAAAAAATTCAGAAAATACATGTGCAATGTCCGGTGTTCTCTGGCTTGGTGCCGGATGGAAGCCTGGCAGGGGCAGGGGGAGTGGCTGGGAGGCGGGGTGCGATGGGCGCTGGGAGCCTCTGGTTGCATCTGACATAAGAGTGATGCCTTGAGGAGGAGGAGAAGCCCTGTCCGTGCTCCTGAGCGCTATTCAAGCGTGTTGTCAAGCCATAGCTGGATTTGCTTGTGCTTCGTCGGGCCCGTGTGCAGGACAGGCAGCGCCCTAGGATCTGCATGTGCCCAGGTCAGTCCCGCTCCCCGCTGGCTGATTCTCTCCTCACAGCTCCCCTTGACCCCTCCTGACGAGCACCGCTCCCTGACCTGCCCTGCTTCCTGCTGGCCTCCCCCGGCCAGCCCCACTGCACCCGGCTCTCCCCCTTGCCAGCCTTGCTTCACGTCTCCCGCCCCTCCCGGCCAGCCCTGCTCCCCTCCTGGCTGGTCCCTTCCCCCCCCCCCCGCCCGATCAAGTGTCTGGTATTTTTTCTGAAGCTACCTGGTAACCCTACCCATCACGCTGTACCTCATAGTTTGATTAGATCATCTCTATCCATCATGCTGTCATTTTAGATCCTTTCCTGAACCTGTGTCTGTATGTGTGAAGAGTGGGTGTTAAGGTCTTTTTTAATGAGCTAGTGGTACCATGTGCTTTCCACTTACGATCAGTACCAATTACTGTTCTGCACCTGGGCCTATTAGCAATTAATGTTTTGCTTTCTCAGCCCTGTTTGTGCCAAATTCTGTGAGCAGGGGCCTGCCTCTTGCTCACAGCGTAGCTTTGCTTTGTTAGCCACGTTTTGTCTGTTGTTAACTAGGCCTCAGACCAGGCCTGTGGTGCATGTTTTAGGTGCATGTTTTATGTTTTAGGCCAGTGGTCTCCAACCTTTTGGGGCTGCTGGGCTCCCGGGGGCGGGGGCACCCATATGCTGCGTGCCCGGTGCTGGCGCCACCCATGCTCTGCACTCCTGGGGCCAGCACCGCTTCTGTGCCGCATGCCCAGGGGTGGGGCTGCCCATACACCATGCGCCCGGGGCCAGCGCCGTTCTTGTTTCATGTGCCCACGGGTGGGGCCGCCCATACGCCCGGGGCCGCAACAGCCCATGCACTGCATGCCCGGGGCCGGCACTGCTCCTGTGCTGCGTGCCTAGGGGCGGGGACACCCATACCCACGCACCCGGGGCTGGCACAGCCCATGCCCCACGCGCCAGGGGACGGGGCCGCCCATGTGCTGTGCACCCGGGGCCAGTGCCACGCTTGTGCCGCATGCCCAGGGGCCGGCACCGCCCATACGCTGTGCGCCTGGGGCCGGCACAGCCCATGCACTGCCCACGCGCCCTGGGGCGGGGCCAGCCCTGATCACTTGGCGGGCGCACAGAAATGGCCCCGCATTGGGGAGCACTGTTTTAGGCCTTCATCTTACTACACATGTAATTGCCCCAATTTTCATGGCCTGGATTAGGAACTGATTCAAGAAAGACCTCTTGTTGTTAATATTCATTTCCATTGTCCTGATTAGGAGAAAAGTGGAACAGATGTTTTTATTATCCAGATTCTCTGTTTTATTTGTAAGGAGGTTAAATACATCTTTAAATATGCTGTATACATAGGGTGACGAGGCATCCTCTTTTTAAAGGTAATAGAAATGTAGCCGTGTTAGTCTGGTGTAGCTGAAGCAAAATGCAGGACTATGTAGCACTTTCTTGTTAGTATTTAAAGTGCTACATAGTCCTGCATTTTATTTTTAAAGGGACAGTCCTGTATTTAAGCTCTCCTGACGGTGTCCTGACTTCCCCCCCCCCCCCCCCCCCCTTTTTTTTTGGGTCTCTGGCCCATCTGTACTGGGAGCTTCTGTTTCTGGCTGGATCTCTGCTAATCAGCCACCTCCTTACCAGCAGTGAGTGAGATGGGTCCATTAGCTGATGATGGTCAGTTTAAACCCAGACCCTCTGTATGAGAGAGGAATTTAAATATTGTTTAAATATACAGGAATATATGCGTGTGGCCTTTCCTCATGTAATACCTCAGGTCTTAAATATAAGAGGTAAATCAAAAGAATCCAAATACACAATACTTATTATTGTAGGGGGTCAGTCAACTTGATGTTAGTTTGAACATTTGCATGGCATAGTTCTGATTGATTGTCATTGAAGTTGCTTGAATATGCATAATTTTATCAGGTGTCCCATATTCAGCATAGAGAAATACGATCACCTTATGTATGCAGTCCACTGTGAGACGTTGAGATCTGCAACATTAAAACTAACTTAATAGTGGTCCATCTTCGAGTTAATGACTGTAAGCTTCAGAGTGAATGATATTTTGATAAAACATTGCTTTTCAGTGACCTTTTAATGTGTTCCTCACAATCAGATCTTACGCTTTTCAATGAGGAATAATTGTGCTATTTCTCAGATTGGATCCCGTCATCTAAGTAAAGTAAGTGCAGTGGCACAGAAATCCTTAATATGGTTTTTGGGATTCCCCTGGGACTTTTCCACTTGGCTTATTTAGAATACCTTGGCCAGTTGTGGGCAAAAAATGCATCCAGATCTCGGGAATTAAAAAAACTCAGTTTGATTCCAGATTTGGTCACCAAGTATCTTCATATGTCATAAAGCAAAGCCACACTGAGTTGATCAGACTCTCATACAGGAGAGTGGGTATAGGGCAAAGCATACATCTAAAGATGCACAGAAAACCTCTTCCTTTATGTACATGTACACATATTTCATTTACTGTTCATTGCATCACACATTTTTGGTTTGGCTTGCTTACTTTGCAGGAACCGGTCCCTGTGCAGCATTCTCTGTCAATGCACTGTCCCTAAAATTTAAACTGAGAAGACAAGTGCTGCGCCATATAATTGAGAAACAGGGATGGGAAGTAATATTTTTATGCCAACAGAGGCAAGTTGATCCAATAAAAAATATTACCTTACCAATCTTGTCTGTCTCATATGCTGGGACCAAGATGGTGACAACAATACTCTATACACGCTATAATGAGCACTTTGAAATCACTTAGGCTATGTCTAGACTATAATGATTTATTGGAAAAAGGTCCGCAAATTGCGCTTCACAATTTGCGTACCTTTTTCCAATAGGTTTTTTTTTTTTTTTTTTTTGGAAGAGGCTTTTCTGAAATTTGGCCCGTTATATTGGACCAAGTTTTGGAAAAACCCTGTAGTGTAGACACAGCCTTTATTGTTGTCATGTGTTAAATCATGACAGATGAAGTTTGGAGGAGATTCTTTTAGTTCAGAGCTATATACAATGGGTTACACTATGCTCATGACTTCTTACCATACACTACTTCCTTCAAAAAGGAACCCTGTGAAATGACAATAAGATTCTTTTAAAGGGACTGATTCCAATCTAATGTTCTGTTCAAGGTGGTTATCACTAGACATAAATGAAGAGTTCAGTCAGATGCATTTCCAGTTTAACAAGCAGGAAAATATTTTTATCTAAAATATAAAATACTTTCTGAAAAGTCCTGGTTGACTAGAAGTGATTCCTAGGTATTAAGGTCCATTTCAGGATATGAGCCATCAGAATAACAATCCAGAACACTATTTCATGGAAAAATCAGATGAAATTCAGATAAGGCAGACTCAATTTGTCCCTGAGGCTATCTTTTCAGAGGTTATCTTTTCAGAAATCTTGTAAGTGCCACATTCTAGGGTGTTTTTTTTTTTAAACGCTTTTCTTGTATATGATTCTTTGTAGTGCAGTGAATGTGTCCTGTTGGTAATATTTGTGGAGATATAAACCTGTCATTCAGACTTTTTTCTGAGTTTTGACAGAATTGATTCTTTACGTCTGTACTTTTTTACACACTTCCCACTCTAAAACGAATAGCTAGTACACATCTTTTTCTTATCCTCAAACATAGAGGGGGAAAAAAGGAGGAAAAACATTTAGTGCGTATTTCATACCAGGAAGCATTTTCAAGACTGAAAGAAGGCATTAAAAATAAGCTTCTCGGGTGCAGTCCTTCTCATGCTATATGTGATCAATACTTAATGTTGTGAGGATATGTCACTTTAATAGTCTGAAGCATAGTGCTCTTTCAGAAGTGCCGTCTTATACTTTAGTTGCAATTTAGGTAAATTCTCTGCTTTTGCTATATTTTGTGATTTTATGGCTTTATTTTTTTCTATTGTATTTTAGTCAAAGGATGGGCTTAAAGCCAAAGTGCCAAACCAGGATCTCTCATCTTCTGGTTTTACTGGTATAACTCCATTGACTTCAGTGGATTTACTCCCCAACCTAAGTGAGATCAGAATTAGACTCAACGAGGTATACAAGGCTTGCAAAAAAGAGTTTAAAAAAGATGCAATCATAGTAACTTTTATTTATAAAATTACCTTCCTACAGTGAGGCACTTAAGGCACAGGCTAGAATTAAAAAATATACCATAATAGGTGCTTTACAATAGCATGAATAAGAACAGCCATACTGGATCAAACCAAAGGTCCATCTAGTCCAGTATCCTAGCATAGAGCTCCACAGATTGACGCAACAAATAGTCAACATAGTAAAAATTAGTTGAAAAGCCAAATAATGTGGC